GGGGAGCGACCTAGTTTCTACCAGGTAGATAGGTTAATGGATGGAGACAAAAGTTAGTAACTCACAACAGTGGCCAAACTGACGATTCTGGAAAGAAAAGATGTGTAAGTGTCTGGTTTAGGAGACAGCTATAGTGGAGTTTCCAGGGTTCAATTCTTCACATCGTACATGCCAGCCAGTGGGTAATTTCAGTAAAAGGGTTTCAGCTAGATCAGTCACATGGTGTGATTAGGTATTTCTTCTGAATCTATTGCCTTTGGCTTCATTATTGCTGGCTTTGCAAGACTCAAGTCAGATCCTCCAGCCCTCCCAGAGAGTCTTTGAACTATATAAGACCCTTGAATAAACACCTTTCTCCTAAACTAGCTGGAGTAGATCTTGCTACGCCCCAAACTCTGACATTTATAGGATTTTTTCAGTAATTAAATAAAACTTAATTAAAACTTTTTAGCTCTTTTTCTAAGAAAATAAAAGCTGAAGTCTCCAACACAATCATTCACTAATATATCAATTGTTAAATTCTTCTAATAGTTAAGCACATTCCGGTTTCAATTTCTCAGTTGAGTAATGATCCATCCTCAGTTTGACTTTCAATTCCCAGGTAAGCTGCCTTCCAAATAGGCATCTTTACAATGTTATGTCTGCAGAGGAAAATAAAATTGTATGATTGAATGTTCTCTTTGGTGTAAGTGGGGCTTCCACGTGAAAGAATCTTTAGGTAGAGGCTCCAATGTGACATTGATAAGCATTGAAATTGTGGGCTCAAGCTAGACTATAGAATCAACACAAATTTTCAGAGCACTAGGAAGGGTACCTTCTACACCTTGAGTGACACTGATGTTGGCCTGCACTAGGGTGAATTGTAAAGCAGTTTTTAAACTAAGTGGTATATTTTAACCAAGTGTTTAAATATCGACTTTAGATATTAAACCTCCCCTTCTTTCTCAGTCAAGTCTTATAGTCTTTTAGCCTTATTAGTAGTTGTCAAAATCAAGGTTATTGTTCAGTCTTCTTCAATTCACTGTTGAATAAGTCACAACCTTATCCACATCTTTATGTTCCATTCTAAAATTTAAGCATGTGTTTTTCACACTAGAAATCAAACAGTTTTTATATTAATCCAGTACCATTTCCCAAAACAGAACAGGTGAGAAAGTAAAAGAGGTAAATTTGAGGGGTTCTCGAAAACAACACAAAATGAAAACAAGACAAACAAAACTGAGCCTGATCATGGGTTTGATGAGAAGGATAATGATGGAGGAAAAGCATGTTTTTGTTTATGCATCCATTAATTTAAATTACATGAAATAATTAAGCTTATTTTTTTCTTAAAACCATGATATCCTATGCAGTTATTTTTGAAAGTCTGTTATAAAAAGTCCAATAGTCCCTGTTTGAAAAAAGACAAAAAATATAAAAGATCTCAGCAAGAATGAACATTGAAACTGATTCCACTAGACAACAGGACAGACATGGCTGAATAATTGATTTTCTGTCATTTGACACTGAGCATTAGCACAGATAGGGAGGTTCCCCAGAAACTACTATTTAATGATTTTAGATGGGAAAATTATCTAATATTACCAGAGTTTCATGAGTTTTAGGTAACAAGAGAAAGCATGGTGCAATTGAAAAAGCAGACGGAGTTTGATGTCAGTGAACTATGGTTTTAAATCCTGCTTCAAGGACTTAAAAGCTGTGAAACCTCAGGCAAGTTGCTGAACCTCCCTGAGCCTGTGCTTTCTCATATAAGGCAGGATAAATAAAATTGACTGCGTAGAGTTGTTTTGAAGTTTAAATTAAGTGATGAATAGCTCCTATCACAGTGCCCACTTAAAATTAGTATATTCCTACTTGTCTTTCTCCTCTTCCTGCATTGATTTAAAATAAGAGAAAGCATTATTGATTTATTCTTTCCTGAATGAAGACAGTCATTTCTATTCGGACCACTTTGGGAAAAGCTTAGGTAAAGGACTACCACTGCAGTTTCCACTAGGGTTTGATGGATTTCAGGTGCAAAACCTTTTTGCTTAGCACTCATTTATTGCATAAATATATGTTCATACCTACTATGTGCTACCTTGTTCTAGGCATAAGGGATACAATAGAAAACAAAAAGGCCAGGTTCCTATTCTCCTGAAACATGTTCTGATGGAAGTCTTCCAGAATTGTCTTAAAAATAATATTGCAGAAAACATCTTCTTCCATTTGACACACTTGTCTTGGGCTTTACAAAGCTAACCTTCTACTTCAAAGGAAAATAAATCCCATACTCATATGGGATTTAGATAAGATATCAGCAAGGTGCAAAAGAGAACACAAGTTTAGAGCTGGCCAAATCTTGGCTCTGTCATTTATTAGAGATGTAAGTAAATAAATTAACCACTGTTGCTCAGTTTCTATTATAATAATATTTACCTGTAAGGATATATGGCATTATATGAAATAATATATGCAAAATACTTTGAGCAATACACAGGGGTAGAAACAGAATAAGGGTGCCATTACAGATTCCATTTTAATATGATTGCTAATTTCACTGATCAGAAGAAAATGAGCTATCTTAAGGTTATGGTTTCAAATAATCCACAACCTGGGTTATTTGAGTAAAACAGTACAGAATCATATAAACTCATATATGCCACTTGTTACATAGTATTAATTAATTAATTAATTAATATTTGGTACTAGGGATTGAACGCAGGAGGGCTGAACTCCTGAACAACATCCCTGCCCTTTTTTATATTTTATATAAAGACAAGTTCTAACTTTTTTAGGTCCCTGCTAAACTGCCGAGGCTGGCTTTGAATTTGGGACTCTCAGTCTCTGGCGCCAATGCGATTACTGACTGGAGCCACAGCTCCCGGTGTTATGTTGTATTTAAACCATGAAAAATACATCATGGAATTTGTGTGTTTTTCCCATTAAGAAAATTTGCTATCTGCCACATCTCCCTGGCTCAACTCCTACAATAAGATTATTCTTTGTGCAGAGTGTCTAGTGCCAAAAATGGCATTCATAAAAACCCTCCTCTGTTGAGAGGGAAAAGATTGGTTGGCTTTAACAAAAGCACATTATGCACAGAGGGAAAATTACATTTTAATGACCTAGAAAATGCATAACTAGTAGTTGAAACATGGCACTCACTTAGGCTAATCCATTTTCAATTAATTACATAATTTAGCTCATTACTATTTATGAACATTACAGAATGTCTACCCACCTGGAAGATTTTTTTCCACCATTATTCAAGCTGAAAGTCTGAAACAAACTTTTAACCTTCATCAAATATTACTAGGTGGGAAAGGTAAAAAGTTGAGCTATCCACCAGTTCAATTAAAAGACTTGAACATATTTACTTAAACCCTTAGGGGTCTTTCTTAGTCATGGTCTGTGTGTTCTAAACTTATCAGCATCTTCCACATTCACCAAGCCCCACCATCCCCTACCTAATCACATTCTCACTTTTTTCTCCCCTTTTATTAAGCTGTGGTTTCTCCTTCCCTCTGTTCCAAAAACAATGCGCATGCATGTATTCCCGCTTGATTTGTTGTTGGTGTTGTGTTTTTGTGTGTGTTTTTTTTTTTTATTAGAAAATAGCAGCTCTCAATTTTGACTACATAGTGAAACTGTCTAAGGATCATTTAACTTTTTTAAACAACTGATGTTGACTTAGGTGCTCTAGTTTATGCTCATGCACTGGGATGTCTATAAGCTTCTGCAAAGAATTCTAACGTGCAGCTTGGGTTGAGAATCACAGTGCTGGAGCGCAGAGGCCTTAATTTCTTTTTCTTTCCATTTTATATATATGCTGAATATGTGTAACAGCTGGTTTAAAAGAAACTAATTTGAAGACTATACCTCTGAATTCATTGATTTGGAGAAGTTTTACACTTCATAGATACAGTGACTGGTTTTAATTTGATCCATGTGGTTTTCCATAATACTTAGAAAGTTGGCACAGCTACCCACAGCACTAACCTTAGCCCCAGTTTGTGCTTTCTAAAAACACACTAATGCAAGTGGAGATTTCCATAATCTGGAAAGGGCAGCCTGAGTCCTGGAGTGATCATTCACAAGTCCAACCTCATACCTGGCCATCCTGAAGTTGCAGGTAAACAATTTCGTGGATAACTCCATCAGAGGCCAAAGAGCTGGGCATGCATAAAGAATTCAGGTACCAACTAGCCATTCCTCCTCCGCTTCTTGGGGATTTACTCTTTCCTGTTTTTATTCATCATATGGTCATTATTCTGAATTTCTCTGTTTAATTTTTCTGGTATTATGAATTGGGGGAAGATTATTTTAGGGTTCAAATAGGAGTAGAATCCAAGAGGATATTTTAATTTAGAGCTCACTGAGACTTAGTGCATTGGTTAGCTGAGGCTTCTGTAATTAAAGTACCACAGAATTATTGGCTTAAACAATAGAGATTTGCTTTCTCAGAGTTCTGGAGGCTGGAAATCTGAGATCCAAGTGTCTGACTGGTCTGATTTCTTCTGAAGATTCTCTCCTTGGCTGGTAGATGGCTGTCCTCTCCCTGTGTCTTCACATGGTACCCCTGTGTGTGTCTGTGTCCTAGTCCCTCTTCTTGTAAGGACACTGGCCATATTGGATTTTGTGAAAACCCCATTGCAGATAATGTCAGAGAGGTCTGATTTAAAATCTGCCTTGTGAACCCCCTAAGTTTGTCTCCTCAGGACCTAGTTCTGCTGTTTTAGAGTTTGGAATGTATGTCCACCTATCTTGAATACACATCTGACAGCTTAACTGACAACTGACACCTTTTACTCTCCCCTCTCTGCCTCCCTGTCAGCTATGCAGAAGACATCAACTTGAACTCTCTGGCTGCCTGCACTGCTCGGTATTTGGGACTTTTTCAATCACTTTCTTAAGTGGCTGGCTAAGATTTCCTTCTAGAAAATTCAGGATCCCGCATTTGGAGATTGTGCCTGAGTCCATTAAAATACTCAAGTTGTGGAAGAAGGACAGGGACCTACCTTGAGGTTTGGGCTTGGTCAGCTTGCCACAGGGCTTGGAGATGGTGACTGTCTTCTGGCAGTCAGCATTGTGCAGGGCGCGCTTCAGACTGCCAGTTCTAGTCTTCAAGGCCGTATTCAGGTCACATTCTCCCCAGGCCTGGAACTGGTACTTGCACTCGGCTAAAGCAGAGTCAAATAAGACACAAACCCTTGAGAGATTCTGTTTTGGTGCCATGGTAATGACGGTAGACTTCTGTTTTTAATTTTTTGTATTGGGATAATTATAGATTATCAGATGTTGTTAGAAGTAATACAAAGAAATTCCATATGTTCTTCGCCCAGTTTGTTCCAACATGGTATTTTGCATAACTCTAGCCTGGTAGCACCACCACAAAACCTGCCACAGAATAAGTGCTGTGTGTCTATTTAAATCTGTATGTCATGTCAATGCACATCACTACCAATGCCATGAGCAGCTCCTAATGCAGAGGTCCTGTGCATCATCATCTATAGACATAGTCTTCTAACTTCTAAATGCCCGGCCACCAATCTTTTCTCCAACTCTTTAATTCTGTCATCTTAGGAATGCTATGTAAGTGAAATTATACAGTCTCTGACCTTTTCAAATCGTCTTGTTTTTACTTAGCATAATTTCTTGGAAATCCACCAAAGTTCTATGTGTCAATAGACTGCATTTATTATTGCTGACTAGCCTTCCATGGTATGGTTATACCACATTTAGGTCAATCATTCACCAGTTGAAAGATATCTGTTTATTTTTTTCCTCTACTTTTTTAGCTATTACAAATAAAAGTACTATACACTTTCATATTTTAGTAGAAAGAGAAGTTTTCATTTTTCTGGGATAATGACCAAGAAACTGATAAATTGCATGGTAAATCCATGTTTAATTTTTTAAGAGAAAAGCATCACAATTCTTTCAAGTGCAGTTGTATAATTTTGTATTTCCTCTAGCACTACGAGTGATCTAGTTTCTCTGCACCCTCACGAGCATTTAGTATTTTTACCACTATGTTTGTCTGTGTAGCTGCTCTGTGTAGCCACTCTGACATGTGTACAGTGATATTTCATTGTGGTTTCAATCCCCAGTTCCCTGAGAAAAACAGTCAAATATCTTTTCAGATGCTTATTGGCCACCTATGTATTATCTTTGCTAAAATGTCTGCTAATGTGTTTTGCTCACTTTTTTACTAGTACTTTCTTCATATTTTTTCTGTTTTGATAAATATATCCTTAAAGATGTTAAACTTTTCATAGATGGAATTTTAAGGTTCCCATAGGCAAAACTAAAATGTATCTGAACCAGAGCCCAGTGTGCCTCTACTGAGCTCCTCATCATTCAAAAATGTACCCCAAGGACTTGGGATGTAGTGTACAGTGTAGTGTACAGTGTTTACCTAGCATGTGTCAGGCCCTGAGTTCAGTCCCCAGAACTTGGAAAAAATGTACCCCAAAGGTTACAGAGAGAAAGAAACATGCATTGGCCTTCTTCAACTTGCCAATAGACCAGTGTGCTGAGAGCCATAGCCAAGTAGGAATGGCATTTTTGGTTGAAAGGTGACCCTGCTCAGGGATTAGGGTGGCTCCAGGTTTAGGGTGGATCCTGCTGGATTAGGGTAGCTCCGGGTTTAGGGTGGATCCTGCTGGGAATAGGGCGTATCCTGCTGCCTCAGGCGCATGCTCCTTGAGTTCCGGTTGAGTTCTCTGGGGTTCTGAGAGTAATTAGTAAGCAGAGAACGGTGGAGGGAGTGTATTTTCCCAGAACGTGCATGTAGAGTGGCAGTGAGAGTTCGGGAATAAAGAGTTGCTGTTGGAATCTACAAGTTTTTGTGGTGGCTAGGTTATTTTGTGCCCAGCCAGACTGCGGCATTTGGTGGCCCATACGGGGAACCTTTGAAGCTTGCAGGTGAGTGATTTTTGTGCCCAGCCAGACTGCGGCACCAGTGTACATTGCATTTCTCCATCACACAGGTATTACATTGGGGGTATTAGGTCCCACAATGGCCACAAAAGACAAAGCACCTGGGATTCAATACTGGGTTGAAGTTGAAAGTGTTGAGAGAATCTGCCTCAGATATACAGATCAGATCCACATGAGGCTGAGCAGTCAGTGAGAGGGAAAAAAAAATCTATAAAAATTGGCCATGACCAGCCCCTGTTTGATCAATAAGTCAATCTATAAACTTATGTGAAGGGAGGAGAGGAATTCAAAGAGAGAGGGCTTAAGTGTAACAGAGAGACACAAGGAAAAGGAAGTTAATAAAATGGGGAAAGAAAATTAAAGGAACTTGAAAGAGGGAACTTCAAAAAGAAGTTAGTTCAAATTTGACCATTAATACCTGGAGATATTTTTTGTTTACTCATCTGTTGGGGGGGAAGTGTCACTGGAAACCAGTAAGCACAGGACATATCCTGCATAAAACAACAAGAGATCACCTGGTCCAGAGTGTCTCACTGGTACAGAAGCTGAGAAATCCTAGGGTTAGACAAGATGTTTGGTCATCTTGCAGCTGATAAAATAAACTTTTTTAGAAAGAAAGAGCACCCAAACTCAAAAAGACATTTGATGGAAATACACCAGAATTATCTCAGAATAGACTAAAGCAGTAGCACAGTAGAAAGAGTCTTACCTCCAAATTGCTTTTTCCAGTTGCAGGGGATCTTACATCTCTGGGTCTTCATGGTCTGCTTGCACTCGGCTCCAGTGCGGGTGCCCTCCCGGGTGCCCAGCCCACAATCCCCGCTGGTGGGCACACACACGCTCCACTGCCATTCTCCACAGTCAGACTTCTTCACTTTTTTTTCTGGAAGTAAAGAACCAAAAATAATCAACATTCAGAAAACTGTTTATCTCCTAGATATAACTAGGTTCATCCTGAGAGCCTTAACTGTAGAGACCAGTTTACCTCTATCTTCTGTCCAGTAAACAGGAGGAATGTGACAGATGTCAGTCACCTGATCGAATCAATGAGTAATCAAGCAAAGAGAGAAAGAAAACTGAAAGAAGAGCTAGAACTACTACTAGTTTAACCCCTATATGTGTTAGAGACTAAGTGATTTACTGACATCTCTTTCTAGAAGCAAATATTTCTATTAAAAAAAATCAGATGTTCAAGGGCTGGGGTTGTGGCTCAGCTGTAGAGCGCTCGCCTAGCACATGCGAGGCGCTGGGTTCGATCCTCAGCACCACATAAAAAATAAACAAATAAAATACAGGTATTGTGTCCCAAATATAACTAAAAAGTATTTTAAAAAATTAGATGTTCAGAAAAAATTAGGCCGAAAGAGAAAACATTCAATTAAAACCAACAGTTATTAGATCATCTATTTCATTGCAGGTGGACGCCCCTTTCTGCTTTGTGGATGGAATAACAGACACAGCAGACATAACACAGACATAGGCAGACTCCCCACTCCACAGCCTGCTCTGACTCTGGGAGTGACACAGGGAAAGTGCTACATGGGCTTCAGTTTCCTTCTTTGTAAATTTAAGATTGAAACAAACATCCTTGTGTGACATTATTTGGGGAAGAGAGATGACATAAGTAAATTACTAAGAGCTGTTACTTCTAACACAGTGTCTCCTCACATTCTTTAGGCTTCATTATGAGAATCTCTTCTTTTACAGAAGCACCTGATTAATAGTCAATGTTCTATACAGGGACCCCCTAATATGATCATATTCCAGAACCTACAGTGGGGAAAAAATAAGGGAGATGTCTCTGCTGCTTCTAAATAATTAGAAGAAAGAAAGAAAAAAGGGGGGAGGAGGGATTAAAGGCAAGGGAGTTGGGAACAAAGGCAGGGAACTGGGTTTGATGGCTATTAACCGATGAAGCATCCCATCCTAACTCTGCTGCTTACCTGGTTTCTCCTTCTTCCCTGCCTCAGCAGTGTCCACAGTGGCCAAAATGAAAATGAATGCCAAGAAGACAGCTGCAAATTTTCGACGCTGCTGCTGGTACTGTTGGGACTGCATTCTAGGAATAACGAGAGAAAGGAAAAACAGAGATGTCAACCTAAGACAGAGAGACATGGAACCCCTTGATGAAGGAAGGGCTCCACTTTCCATTTGTGGAATGTTGGCTTTCAGAAAGATGCATGTCAACTATTATAAGCAGAATTTTATCTCTTCTCCCCAGTAGCTGCCGAAATACATGATCTTCTGCAACCAGTCACGTATTTACAGACAAAATGCAAGTTTTCCACATGATTCCAGGAATTATGGAAGTGAAAGAATTTTGAAGACATGTATTTTAGCAGACTCCTACAGCAAATTTTGCTGATAGCATCACTTGTTAACATCAATAGCTACAACCATCTTCAGAATTCCTGATAATTCCTAGAAACAACCAGGGCATTGTAGTTCACAGGGCTCATTTGAATAATGAAAGATTGTCTCATACAAGTCTATGTTTACTGCTTCTCTTTAGAAGCATTGCTAATAACCAATGGCTTTGATAGTTTTATTGCTTTCCCGGATCATTTCACTCATCTTATCATTATTCCGGTATTCATTAATCGACCACAGATTGGAGCACAGAAGTAAAACTAGCACACCTGTGTCACAGGCAGCACCAGCTCTGAACTTATGGGCCCAAGAGTCTCTAAATTCTAGGATGCAGAGAGGTGTCATTATGTTCACTCATAACTGAAATTCTTCTCCACATTTGACTTGAATCAAAATCCCCAGATAACATTAGAAAGACCCTCTAGATCTTGAAGCCACTTGTGACAAACTGGTATCATATATATACAGGTCACATCGTCAACACACCCCTGAAAGAAGTCTCAGTGGAAGGCCCAGCCCAGGGCCACCCAGTGGATCAAATGTCTATGGTCATTAGCTCGGAGCACTTCTTATTCCAAATGTGGCAACAGATGACTTTAGCTGTTTTTACACTCTGATCCAAATAAAACCTTTCATATATATAAAAGATTGAGACCACTTTATTCTCATTCAAAAATATCTATGAAATGATACCATTTTTGGTGAATTTGTCCCTACTTCAGGGACATTGGATATGCTGTCTCTTATTAGTTTTTATTTTTCAACCAATCACTTGGGATCCATAGAATGAATAAGGCTCATTTCACTTCAGAATTAAAATTAATGTTTTGGTCATTTTGTCATTTCATTGAGTCACATACCCTGGCGAGCTATTCACCAACCATCTCCATCACTTTCTACACTCTAATATTGGATGTTTCATTCTTCCTAATGCTAAATTTTTATGATGTGCCCAAGTAATGGTCACACAGGAAGGTTCTTATTGATTCTGAGGGTTTTTTTTCCCCTGTGCTTTTCATGGGGCATGAATAACATAAGAAGCCAATCTAGATTTGCTGGTTTCCAAGTCTTGTAAGAGTTTTCACAGTTGAGTACCCTGGGCATCTCTATGATTACAATTTTCATAACATTCACATAGCATTTAAAATTATTAGTTGTAAAGTGAACCAAAATATATGTCTTCCAACTTTCTCCTAAGGCTGATTGAGAGCCTTCTTTCGGTGACTAACCACTTTGGCAAGAAAAACTGTTCATTTGAGTTTTTGTCACCTTTTCATTTGACTTTTCTTAAAAGTCAATCAACTTTTCAGCTTTGAACTTTTAAATTTTAATGAATTTCTTTCCAAAACACCCCATGGATTTGCCTTCATGTTTAACAATTACCTAGAAACACCTGAAGTGTTTGGCCTATTGTGAATTAGATTACTACGAGAATTTGGAAATTCCCACTGAGAACATTCAGCTCCTAAGGAAACTTTCTGACCAAGGAATGGGACGATCCACCGTATTCTTGTAGCACATGTAGAGGAAGAGGGGTGAGAAGCACCTTGGAGTCCTCCAGGGAACACGGTCACTTGGAAGAAGTGGAGCAAACTCCACCTTCCACAAATATCACAATAACATGCACACACACGTACACACACGCACACACATACACCAGAGCTTGTGGAAACAAAGGAGCTGTCGTACACGAACTCAAACCTCAGCATTTCTAGTTTTACATTGCAAACCTCTTACTTTCAACGTTATTTTCAAAAAGATCTCTTAAGCAAGTTACATTCACTTATTGAGAAGAGGATAAAAAGCCTCGCAGACCAAGAATTTCCTTCTCATGTGAATTTTTGAGTCCCAAAGTGATCCACTAAATGAATGCTCATAACTGAACTATGAATTGAGTAGAAAGAAGGGTGGATGGGAACTGGGATGAGAATTGGAGAGACGGTCCAAGGAAATGTGCTCTGCCTGCTTCTGATATTGATTCAGAGCAATTTAGAATTTTAAGGAGTGGGTCAGTTGTGAATTTCAGCCCTTAAATATTCTAAGGGAAAACTGCACACAAGCCCACGTTTGCCGTGAGCTGCCTGCGCCAGACGTGTGCAGCCCAGGCTTCTGTTTCTTCTCTGCATCCTCCCTTCCGTTTCCTCCTCCTTTGCCCCTCATGCTACTTAAGTCTGTATCTTGAGAACTTAGATTTTCTGGGTAGATAAAAAGGAATAAAAGTTATTTAAAAGAAAAGAGCAAGAGGTTTGGAAATGGGATTATTAAAATTATCCCAGACATCAAATGTGCCTCAACAATACCCAATTAGCCTGCTGGTGCCTCCCTGTCCTAGTAAATACTTGAGCAATCAGTATATGTGCAGATAAATAGTTCCCCTTGCTTGTGGTATTTGCATAGTTGATTGTTCATTTGTCCTAAGCACCAGGTGAAGGCAAAAGCTCTCCCTGTGTAGAGTTTAACCCTGCCTGTTGCCCAGCAAAGGTTGGGATTTTCCATTGGTTGGGATTTTTCCAACATACTCCCCAAAAGTAAAGGGTGGTGTTGAGGTGCCAAATGAGCCTAGTAGCATAAATTTTGTGTTTAACAAACTGACATTTGTTTTTTCATATTGAGGAAAAACAGTGGGAGAATGAGGCTTATTTACTTATTTCTCACCTCCTCCTTTTACAGCCTTCTTTCTTGCACTTGCCCCAAAAGATGTAATTTCCTACAGTTTAACAACTGAGTTGAACATTGCCATAGAAGAATAGTGGTGTCCGGAAGTTATTGCTATCTCAATGAAGTCTGAAACTCAAGGATTCATCTTCAGGAAACTAACTCTAGGGGAAAGTGCTCACTTTTTAAGAGCCAATCTCTTCTCTTGAGAAATAGCTGATTAGGAGAAAAGAGCTCACCTTTCCTAAAGCACTGTAATGGGATCTAGAATTTTTAAGATGGTGACATCTGGTGTAAACTCAAGACAGGGATGGTGGGAACTATCCCCTGGGGATCTGTTGGAATGAATTAATATGGGATTTCAAGGCAGAAGTTTTGGCTAAAACCTCAACACCACCCTTTACTTTGGGGGAGTATCTAGGAAAACCCCAACCAATGGAGTTGTTCTTCATATCTGTGAAGTGGACATACCATGTAGGACAGTAGCATAACTGCTAATGATACATAATGATAGCAAGGCGTAGACATATAGATGATTCCAAATATGAAGAAATATATTATTAGTTGATGAGCAAAATTGATTTGCCTTTACATCTTCTTTACTTAAATGCATTTTATAGAAGAAAAAGGAGAAGAGAAGAAAGAAAGAAAATGAAAAAAACAAGCGTACACTTTACATTATCTAATATTATCCAAATGCAAAACAAAACAAAAAAGAAACGGAGAGAGTCATCATTTAATTAAGGCCAACTAAGGGATTGTTCACCTTTATCAGGCACAAATTCATCTTGCCTTTACTTTTAATGCATAATACAAACTCATAGATCTTCACCCATGGTATTTTGAGTCCAGAGGTCCTGTGTTGAGAGTTAGGAAATACATTGATGTACTTAAGCTCGTGTGAAACATGAAAAAGCTTCTCTCCTTACAACTATGTTTTTATGTCCCCCGTGTGTTAAAAACATTTTTCCTCTTCTTTTTAATAAAAGTACTGAAGACCAGATCCAGGGTTTAGTTGCTGCTCATTAAAAATTTTGCTGGTGAAAAATATCTCTGCATTAAATGGAGGAGTGAGCATTCATGCTGAAATGTCTCGAGCCTTTGTTGATGTCACAAGATGTGGAATGCACTTAAGAAAGTGAGTTGACAACAAGAGTGCTCATGCAGTATCATAACAAAAGTGACATCAGAAGGCTGCAGGTGTTCCTCATCACAATCCAAGCCCCATTCCTCTAAAAGTAACTTAAATAGTAATTAGATCCTAGCGTTACTCAAGGGCTTTATCTCCGTGTCCTTCCCTAGACTTGCCTAATTTTAACATGTATTTTAATTTGCTTTTAACAAATAGGATGGCCCTCCATTGTGTTCTGTTTCTTGCTTTTTACTTTTTGCAAAACCCAGGCCATCTAATCAATAGTATCACATTCTGATGACTGCAAATTTGGACTGCAGCTCAACACTCTTGTGTTTAGCCTCAGATTGGCAGCTAGATGCAGAGACTCAGGTCAGACTCAGATGCTCTCTCTTTGTCAAGGCTATAAGTGGTGTCCTGTCCTTTGACCAGGAGCTGCATGATATTTTGCTCTTGTTCTTCTGTGATGTTTGCAGCCATTGGTGTTTGATGGGTACTGACGGAGCTTGCCAAATGGTGAGATCCTAATTCTACCTTTTTATTTTCATTTATTATGTGAGATAATTCCATAAAGAAATGTTTTCCTTTGTCTAATAGTTTGCTATACAGTTTACATTTTGTAAAGAAATGCTGGATAAATGCTGTATTCTTTCCTTTTAATCACCTAGTTTTCAAGATTATGCATTTGTTTCCTATTATTAAATGTGGCCAATTACTTTCCCTCTTTAATCTTATAAATTGATGAATGTATTCATATTTTAGGGGTTTTAAGTCAGCACATTTCTTAATCTTTATTGAAGTTTTAACTGTGCCATCTTTGGCCGGTGTGATTCTCCTAAGTTGGCTCTTCAATTCTTTGGACATAACCTTTGCAATCTTGGATAAGGACCTTGCTCCGGTAG